ACCAACGAATAGTGGGATTGACCATCACATTATAAAGCCCCCATGGCTGAAAGGGTGAGCATGTTTGATGGGACAGGTATTCGAACCCGTGACCTGCAGATTGCGAGTTGAGCTCCCTAACCACCTGGCCATGCCTGGATGCGTATGTTGTGAATGGAATTGTAAAAAAATAAAAATCACTAAAAACTTATGAATTGACAAATAGAAGTTTTTGTTGCCAGGCCTTTAAAAGCAACTCTTAAGGATACATGTTAATTTATGTGTGTATGTGCCGTTAAAATTTAACAAAAACCTTTTTCTGCTTGAAAATTTTTAATTATAATTTTTTGTGTAATGCTGTAGCATCAAAATGATCTTTCAAATCCAGTTTTTACAGTACTGTTCATGTGGTTTTATGCTAATAAAAATGTTTTATATTTTAAATAAAATACATTTGCAATAAACATGTCTGAACATGTTTTATTTTATTCCAGATTCAAATAGGAGTGCTATATAATTTAAATTTTTTTTTAGAAATTCAATGTTTTGTTGAAATCTGTTAACAAGTGTCAAAATATGGATGGCTAATTCAAACTTTTGAAATGGGGGTGTTAAAAAGTCATTCGGTTGACAACAAATGCATAAACATGGATGACCGATTAAAACCTTTGAAAGTAGGTGAGTGTTCACAGTATCAATATTGTCAAAGGTGGTTTTTAATTTTAAGAAATGTGTTAGAAAAAACATATTTTATTACAAAATTATTAAATTTTGTTTGGTTGGACAATAATGCAAATAAAATGAAATACCAAAACTATATATTTTGTCAAATTGTGACATGTTATACTGGTATATATCTAACACCTGTCACACACACTTTGTTAGATCTTCACAGTTTGCAGCTGTAGTGTTTCATGTTAAAGAGTGTTAGTAATCAAGTCTGGCATTATGGGTTTATACTTTTTTCTTTGCTTTAATTTTCTGTGATTCAGTTAACTGATTATCTCAATATTTAAAACTTGTGACCCCGAGATTCTTTTCATGAAACATTTTTCAATGCAAAGCACATCTTATTGTCAGGTACAAAAAACTATACGATTAAATTTCCAAATTGGTAACCACAAGCACAAGATCTGTAAAGTATTCTACCAAAGGTATATTCAAAGGATTTAGCTACTAATTCTTGCCAACTGTGTCAAGTGGGCACCAGACCAATAAAGTAGTGAAATTCCATACAACATACATAGGCCAAACCTATTATAGATAGGTTGCAATGCTTGGAGATGAACAAAATGTGGAAGCTTTTTGTAAAAATTCAAGAGTTAAATCTGCTGTATAAAACATTTTGAGGCTATACAACCTGTCTCAGAAGGTCTTCAATACCAATATACAGAGTATTTCTGTACTGAGTAAACATGTAAGCATAAGTACTACATTAGAGTGACATGTAAACAAAATGTTACAAACATAAACGGTATGCCTTTTTACTTTTTTTTTATATTAAATTTGTGCTCTCTCAAACTTTATTTTGCAGTTTAATTTTGAAAAGTTTTTATTTAGAGGCTTTGAACTGTGATTTAAGTGTGTGTAACTTCATTAAATCCAGGTATTCACTGCTTGTAACAACCACCTGTACTTGCCTAATGAGCAATGACTGTCTTGGACAAGTACAAGAGAATTGACACCTTTAAAAACATCACACTTTTTGACCAAAAAAAAAGTACTTACGGTTGCTCTTTTGTTCTGTAATGTTCAAACTTCATCAAACCCCTAGTGTTGGCACTAATAACATGCTGGTCTCCAGAGTAAACATCCAGACGGAAGGGATTAGCATGAATAATGGCTTTATTTTTTCCAAACTCTATTGTCATACCTTCAGAGTTCTGAGAAACAAGCTTTAAACTAAAAAGAACAGTAATGATAAATTATGATTTTTTTAGAGGAACTTTTCTCTCGAATATCACTTGATTTGTTACAGTAGATGTCTACAACTGTTCTAAAATTATATAATTTAAAAAATTCAATACATGCAACTTTTTTACCACTATTCAATTTAAAAAATGCAGACAGATTTTTTTATTTGCACTATCAATTAATCCTACACAAAAAAAAATATAATTGCTCATACAGATTAACAATATACACAACATTTACACACTTAATGTTCAAAATCTATTTCACTGAAATTATTTATACTAATGGACAATTTTGACACTAACCTCATGTAACATCTAAGAACTGGAGTTTGTAAAGGGCATAAATAGTGGTAATGTATATGAACAGTAGTACTACATGCTATGCATTTTGATACACATTATAAATAAAAATAATAAACTTCTCTATGAAACCTCTTCCACTGGATACAAAAATTGATTTCTTAAAAAATTAAATGAATAAATGCTGAATGTCTAAAAGATCACATTTGTGTGCACTTATATTGAAGAAGCAAATTAAATTATTCACTTATCTAAACGACACTGAACATAATGCTATTGTTAAACAAATCACATCTATGTACAATAAAGTTTACATACCATAATTTCTTAGGCTTAATTAGGAAAGGGGGGTAACAGGTAAGTTCACTCTCAATATCAGGTTTATCATTTAGAACCCTGTTCTTATATTACGCACACATTTATCAACTTTTAACAATTAACCAAGAACATAATTCCAGAACATTCCAAGATGGAATATTCTATTTTTCAGAACTAATATTACCTCCTGATTTACCACTTGATTCACTCAAAATAAAATTGTTTCATTATTATTAAAATTATTAAATGAACGTATTACACTGAAGTTAAATAAAAATGTGTGGTTCTGTTTACTTGACCCACCCTAAGAAATCCATGCCGATGTTTCTTCCAAAATAAAATATAACAAGCTAATCCACAGTTCTAATAAGAAAGGACTTGAAATTAAAAACAAATTAATAAAATGAGAGTACATACATTAATTCCAGTTGTTAGTAGCCACATATCTAGTAGGTTATACTCTAAAATCATTACTCTGCCCTACAGAATTTTTTTAAATGTGTCCCTTTTTCAAATCTTCTGGCAAAACCAGGAAAAGTGCTTGATGCTCTTGAATTTTACCCCTTCCAATAAGCATAGCAAAGATGACTATAGCAATTGAAAAAACAATTTGAAACAAGATCTAATATCTTAATGTGTATACACTGGTATATGAAGCAGTCAACAGCTAAATATTTTATGAAAGTGTAAAGATTTTCACTGAATATTATCTCTGAAAGTCAGATTGTCCATTCTGCTTCACAGCTGTTACTTGTGCTGTGCCACATGCCCTCCATACTTACTGCACTTCTGTTGCTTCCTATACATATGCTACAAGTGTAGCTACCAGTTTGGCCATCAATTTTGATTTCATTCCTTTAAGTCACATGCTCAATCCTTTTTTAACCACACTTTTTTTCACACCTATGATGTTTTTGATTAGATATCATGACTTTTTGTCAATACACACCAACATACCACAGAAAGTAACACTCGAAAGTAACCAATATTAGGTTTAGGATCGTAACCCTATTATTTGGAACAGATCTATACTTTACAGAACCAACCAGATTATTTAAAATACATGGTGGCAGTTTTCCTCTCTTAGTGTTAGTAACATCATGGAAACCAGATAAAATTTTTTTTTGTCATCACCCGCATGTGCTCTGTACAGCCATATCAAGCATCATTATTCATGCTAATTGGTTAAGCTAATATCACATGATGCTAAAAGCTCTTCAATTAGGAAAATTTCATAAAATTTAGCAAATGTGTGCTTAAAGTTGGGAATGAATGATAACTGTCCATCCATATGATTCTTTTTTAAAACTTGAGGTAGAAACTGCTAATCTAGTTTACTTGGCCTAATCAATTATTATGTATCTTGCATGTCCTTTTACCTTATAGTTTTGCTGCTGGATGTCAGCTGTCTTAATCCAAGTGACAAAAAACTAAAAATGGTCACTTTTACTCTTAGGTGAAGCTGTAGTAAAAATTTCAAACCAATAGCTCACAACTTTTTGCATAGACAAGCATAAAAATTTTGGTCAAAATTGAGCAGTCTTTGTTAAACAACTTTGCAAATGTGGTTTATATTTAGACCAAATTTGAAAACATATAGGAAGAATTCAATCAAAAATTGGAGATTTATATCTCATGTATTTCTTAATGGATTGCCTTGAAATTTGGTATGTGAAGTAAAGGTCCAGTAGAACACATACACTGAAAATATGTAATAGTTTGAATTACCACAGTCATACCTATACAAAATGAAAAATTTATAAACTATTACTCCTGTTAATAACATGTGTCCCACAGATCGTTCTGGTCATATAACACACTACTGGTGTCTTGATATTGTGTGTAGAAGAGATATGTACACTGAGTGGTCACAAGTAAATAGACACCTAATTTTTCGT